GGACTTAGGACCGATAGCTCGCCTTATTTCCTGTTTCTTGTTTGATTGTGGGCTTAGGGTAGTGGTTATCCGTCCGACTGTCATTGATTTCTTAGTTATATATCTCATATATTAGTACGGGTTACGAGTACTTCTTATTTCAATAGATGCCTAAATCACTAACCTAACTAGAACCACACACACTAATTTAACTATAATAGGTATAGTTAAGGACTCTATCCCTTGTTTTAACTACTACTCTACACTACTATAATTCTCTCTATTATGAAGCAATACACTAATAAGAGAATACAATACAAGTTATACAAAAGACTACTACACTATAATACAAGAGAATGTACTAATCATGAGATAATTCATTAATCCACTACGGGATACTCTATACGCTACACACTACGCCTGGAGTTTTTCGATAGGAAGACGACACTATATGTATAGATCTATGCGGGGCGGACGCTATTACATCCCGACTGATAACTTCAGTCCGAGCCGCTCAGGTCCAGGGATGCCTTTACTCTACTACACTATGCATGACAGGGAAGGTCATGGTGGTCCGCTATTACTCACACTATTGGTAACATACAAGAAAGACACTATAACCGCACTAAAATACTAAAAGAAAGATGAAGTAATATCCCGAAGTAAATAAGTATCTAATACTAAAGGGTGCTGCACCACTATTATGTACTCCAAGAATAACTCACTATATTGCCTTACTTAATGGTGAGTCACTATTACACTTCTACGATAAATGGCTTTCAAAGATAGAATCAATACACTTCTTAAAGATTTTTATTTACTATACAGTTCTGGAAAATATAGGATTTTCTAGGTTTTACCACTGCTTATGATTACAAACTTCAGTTTTCATACTAATGATTCTAATGCTTTTTATATACAAGAATTCACACTAAACTCTTATGAACTCACAAGCTTTATGCTGATATTCTTTTCAAAATAACTTGTATCTTCAGGTCAAAGATAGACAGGTACAGCTACAGCATTTTTGGAGAAGATGGAGTATGCAAGACCGATCTCTTATTTTGTTTACTTTTGGTGTTTGTCAAACATTACAAAACACACTTGTAAATACACTTACTATGTAAATGAAATGGTTGTATGTTTCTTGCTTTTACTATTATACAAATGTGATGATACTGTACACTACGTCATCCACCCCGAAACGTATTCCACCGTTATCAGGTTTTGGGGTGTGACAAAACTAACCCTAGAATTTTCCCTCAAGTGATATGAAGTCATTTTGCACCATAGAATACCCCACCATGAGTTTACGGCCGTAAACTCATGAGGAATGGGACTTAGGGCCGAAAACTCTAGTATGAGTTTACTCTCGAAGAGTAAACTCCATATCCAAGCCTTATGTGTCCTCAAATGCCACCTGGGTCCTTCCAAACGCTTGTAATTGAGTGTTTTCGCGATTAGAAGTGTTTTTCCCTAACTAATAAATAATTCAAGTCCTAATTAGATACAAATCTGTATCTTTTCATAATACATAGGAATCTTGTGCGTTTGCAAACCCAGAACTGATGTTTAGGATCCAAACCGACACGTTCCTCAACCGGTAAGTTCATACCCTTACCCTTTTTCAAATGTTTTCACTGGTTTCAGGGGGAAGACAAGCAAAAGTACATGGAAATCTTGTACGCAAACTTATTATTTTCAGTTCAATTGTTTTCATTCTGTATGTTTTAATATCAAAAACTGTGTTTATCAAATAGTTCGAATTACAAAGTTAGCTTTCAGATTAATCATAGATTTCTTGATAAAATGCTACATTCTAAATTATATTTTATAATCTACGAATAATTCATACTAATTATCAATTAGAACTAATTCGAATACAAATACAAATACTAAAGTACAACTAGGAATAGAACGAATACGAAAGTACAACTAGGAATAGAACGAATACGAAAGTACAACTAGGAATAGAACAAATACGAAAGTATAACTAGGAAATAGAATGAATAGGAATACTAAAATAATAATGCGAATATGAATACGAATACGAATAGTATTAGGAGTAGGAATAGGGATACGAATACGACTGTGAAGGCAAATACGAATACGAATAGTATTAGGAGTAGGAATAGGGATACGAATACGATTGCGAATGCGAATACGAATACGAATAGTATTAGGGGTAGGAATAGGGATATGAATATGAATACGAATACGAATAGGATTAGGATTAGGAGTAGGAATACGAATACGTTTGCGAATACGAATACGATTGCGAATACGAATACGAATAGGACTACAAATATAAATACGATTACAAATCTAAAATATAAATATGAATATGATTAAGAATAGAAATACGAATACGAAGGCACGCGTCTAGGTACATTCAAGTGTAACACTATTAGGATATCAGAATACCTAGTTAATATAACAAGTACGAAGGGTAATCAAACATTACATCGAAATTCAATAACTAAACTTACCTTTAGGAAAATATAGGATTTTCCTGGGATAACAATTGTACATAACCAGAATTGTGAAATAAATCAGTTAATCAAACTTTACATATAAGAAAATATAGGATTTTCTTGGATATCAATCTTTTTGGAAAACCAAAGGAAACTCGTACATTTTCAGAAAACAAACATCTTATGAACTCACCAGCTTTATGCTGATTTTCAAAATGCTTGTATTCTCAGGTCAACATTAGATAGGTACCTAGCGATCCTTTTGGAGAAGACGGAGCTTACAGAAGACTCGTCTCTACTTCTGTTCATATATACTATGTATCAGAAATGTAAAACTTTACTTTTGAACAAATGTAAACTTTGATATGTAATGTAATGGTTGTTTACTTTGCTTACTATGTGCATTGGATTTGATACTCAATGTGGAGTCCGCCCCGGAAATGTTTCCGCCTTCGGTTTTCGGGGTGTGACATATGTTCTATGTGAATATAACATACATATTCATGAATGAATATTTGAATAAAACATATGTATTCATATTTTCTTTATTCACATATGAATATGTTTTGTTATATTCATATGTGAATAGAACATATGTAAGTAATTATTGTTGTACTCACATATGAATAATGTATGTATGGCAGCAAGCTATACATATTCAAGAATGAATATTAGTTTTGCTTGTGTTCAGAAGTAAACAAAACATATTTTATTTACCTTTTTGATTTGTTCTTGGTTTTCGTTTATATGTATTCTTCACTGTTGGTGTCGTTTCTGTAAGGGTGAGTAGTTAATATTAAGAAAACATAAGCAAAATGTTAAGTAACTTTTGTATTTTAATAGAATAGTTTTGAATAAAGATGAAAAATGAAGAGATGATGTAAAATAATTTATATATCAAATAATAATGGATGATTCTTACAAAAATTTCAAGTAAATAAAGTAATAACGAAGGAGGGTTACGAGAATGAACGAGTATCATAAATTTCAAGTAAAATTGAAGTAAACAACCTTTTTTGAAGGATGAACAGTGTGAAAACAATGTTTTTAGTTCTAAATCAACTAATAATATTCGAACATTACGAGAAATTTCAAGTAATCAAGTGATAATTTTAGAAATGATTCGAAATCGTTAAAAACTCGAGAAAAAACGCCGATGGTTACCTTTCATTGTCAAGAGTGAGGAAATGGTCTCGTTCATGTTTTCATCGGAATACATTTTTCTTCATTTATGTTATTTGATGCTTCTGCAAATGTGTTTCTTCTTGTCGATTCTTCTTCAAATGGTTTTCGAGTTATGGTGTATCGAAGAGAGAAATGGTGCTTTTCTGTCGAGATTTGACGTGATATCAAATTACTCAAGTGCCTTGATGGTTTAATGTTTTTTGATTATTTACAAATTTCCCACCGCTCATTAATGTATTTGGATTATTTACAAGTTTTCCACCGTGCGTTTTTTAAGCTCATTAAATGATTGGCTGAGAATGGTTCCCCCATTCTCAACCTTTTTTTTATCCATTGAACCCTCCTCTCTCTCTCTCTCTCTCTCTCTATATATATATATATATATATATATATATATATATATATATATATATATATATATATATATATATATATATATATATATGAACCAAGCACTGAAGTAATGTTCTTAAACTTCATTTTCTAATGTAATCCCAAAAAACTTCAATAAAGCAAAACCCGCCACAAAAACCCATTTCAAAATCAATAAACAAAATCACTTCTTGTCTTTGAAGAACTCCCCCCTCCAAGTCACAATGATATTCTAATAAGCTTATGATATAAGCCACCAAAAAAAATATCATGTAACAACCCAAATTTTAAGATTCGTAACGCCACTTGATCGAGAAAATACTAGAAGTCGGAGATATATCAAGTCCTTAGGAGAGCTCAATGAACAAATGCTACTATAAAGGCTACTTCTATGTAAAAGCTTTAGAAGATCCCAATTAAGAACAACTACTGTAAAGCTACCTTCATATCACTACCACAAGCCTAATAAAAATTCTTCAAATTTGAAAAGTCTATCAAAATCTGCCCCGATTTATAATAAAAACATGATTATAGAACCTTCAAATGGTCATGAGAATGATCTTGAATGGATTAATAAATACTATGCTCCCCCACCACAAAATTAAATAAACATTTAAGTTTAAAATCCAAAAGAGTCGAAAAAATTGACGTTATCGCGAAAAACGACTTTCCGAACCACCAAGATTGTTGGAATCCATAATTTATATTCACGAAAAAATTTGCACATTAATAAATACAAAAGTCTTCACCAGGCCTTAAATTTGCAAACTTTTCGGAATATAGGGCTGAAATTGTGAAGTTGCTAAAATTCATGTGCTGAAAAGGTAAAACAACATCTTTTTCCCTTTGAATTGTAACAATTTCAGAACAGTGATGAAACCTGTCAAATCGCTGAGGTTACAGGGACCAAAAATGAAAATTTATGTCATCTTCCCCATAAGAACAAACAACGACAGTAACATTGACTCATAACTACTCGTGAACCCCAACATGAGCTCTGAATCCAAAAATTTATTAAGCGCGAGCAGACCTTCGTTCCGAGTAGAAAGTCCATCTGTGAGTTGCGAATCCGAACCAACAGGTATCTCGATGCCGAGTTAAATAGTGCGAATCTGAATCCATTTGTAGTCACAATTTCAAGACATTTCACTCTGAATCAACGATTTCAGTCACGATGTGAATCACAGTTAACCCCAAATCCATAGATATCAAACTTCGAACGTTCGTGGGAGAAACAAGTGTGATCCTAGAAAGACGAGCTCTGATTGTTCATAGGTTGTCAATTCCTGATCGTTCGCAGGTGAAACATTTGCAGAAGTTCAATTTTTACTTTCAACTTTGTCACACTTCCTAACCGGGACGACGAAAACGTCCGAGGGCGAGTGACTTCATCTTATAATATCATAACAATTGGACATGAATGAGACATAGAAATCAAAATTATATATTAAGGATACCAACATGTATTGTTTACAAACTTGAATTGTTCATGAAATACATCCAAAATAGCATAATATATGACAATCCAAAAATACAACAAATATCCAGTGTCTATGGCTGAGAAAACCTACTCAATGCGTTCCTGAGAATACAAGTCATTTGAAAAGCGTCAACATATAAAATGTTGGTGAGTTCATAAGCATGTTTGTAAGAACACTTTGTAATAGTTTGTGAACTCCAGAAAATTCAATATTTTCTGTAAAAATTGAGAGTCTTGTTTAAAATCATGTGTATACTTTGTTTACTTTGTTTTAAAATTTCATAGAGAGTATTTCCAAAGATTCCTATATATTCTGTTATACATAATATTGTGGTCTTAAAACCCTAAGACCAGAGTGGTGAGATTAGTGCAAAATAGGTGGCACGTAGCTTTGTACTTTGTGAAACGTGTAGAGTGTATGTCTTGCATAAATTTTAAAATGATAATGTTATTCTCTATGTGAGTCATTACAACCATACTAATATGATGAGAGCGCATGTCTTGAATTACTTTAGGCGTCGGTTTCTAAAGATAATTGTTACCCTAGACTAGTATGTCTAGTTGTAGCAAACAACTTAGTTGTGGGGGTGTCAACCCCGTATAGATCTATACACAATATCCCGCTCTCCCTCCAGGAGACTCTGGTTATAACTACAGGATTTACAATGTATGCTAGGTAGGTACTGATGGGTTTTAAGCATTCTAACACTACTAAGGTGTACATGCAACCCTATAAATCTTGGATCTATGTTTTCTCTATTATACATGAAAATATTTAATATTCCAAGGTTTTAATCCTAACTAGCATAATATGAAGCAACTATACTATAAAGCCTAGTTAGATGACATACCTATTGATGGAGCTTGAAGTATTGAACCTTTAATAGCTCAGTGCCCTAAGTGTTGCACCTCAAATGGAATCACACAACACCAAAAAAAACTTGCAATAGCTTGCACTACTAGAAAAAAACCCTTTAATGACGTGCAAACAATGACACTCGCTGATAGAGGACGCGCATTGGTGTGTGCCCTAAAAAATAATGTCAATTTTGCAAAATTTGAAGGATAGTGGACGCGCATTTGTGCGTGCCCTAAAATTAGTGTAAGAAAAGAAAAAAAATACAAAGGGCGCCTTTCATAAATTGTGCGTCCTCTAAATGTGTCGCTTTATATTTTTTTTCCTAAATGCACGTTTTTAAAGGGTGAAAACGAAATCGTCTGAAATTCTAAAATTTTGAAGAACCCCGCTTCTACCCTTTCTCCTCAGTATCTCCCTTTTCATTCACTCCTTCCTTCTCTCTATAAACCCTAAGCCATCGCCACTGCCACCGCCATTGAGCCTTAAAAACTCAATCCACACTAGAATCCTACAATAGAACCCTAATAATCCTTTTGAATCAGCACATCCTTTTGAATCGGCTCGTCTTCCTTTACCTCTGTACTCTCTCTCTCTCTCTCTCTCTCTCTCTCTCTCTCTAAGCCCTAAGCTGCCACCACCAACATCGAACCCGATAAGCTTTAAGAGTTTGGAGTGCATCTAGAAACCTAAGCACACATTTCCGCCATCTCAAGATACCGGTTCAAGATCGGAACACCAATCCCTCTGTCCCGACTCAGATCCCACGCACCGCTGCCCTTAACCTTCTCCTTCAAAACGAAAGAAACGCTCGATGATTCTTCCACTACCGGTGGTCCCACCTCCGAATCACTTGAGATTGAAATTTTTGAGGTCCGACCCTCGCATGTACGTTTGCGTAATCAGAGTGGCAAAGGGAAGAAAGTCGACCCATGGAAGAGCATGAAGTCCGAGAATAAATCCGATGGGAGTTCAGGATCTGGGGCAAACATGTACCTCCCACTATTGCCTTCAAAGGATCTGAATTCAGGTTGAGTTTGGAGTGCATCTAATGAAATCTGATCATCGGCGATACAATAACAGCTCTCTCTCACACTCGAACCCTAGATCTCGCTTCCTACCCTCCTTTATCTCTATTCTCTCCGTCCGACCACCAGACCATCCATGAGCATCGCCAATCAATGACGTCACGATGCCTGCAATTCCGACTCCTATCAAACTGACAGTGGCATGACTTCATTTGACAGGTTTGTGTGTTTATTTTGGCTAGTTTTTGTCTTTGATTCGGTTTTAGAGAACCCTTTATCAATTTCATCTTAATAGTTAAGCATAATAATCTTGATACTTGATTTTGGCATTTTTCTACAGTTTTATTTATAAATTGGGGCTTGCAAATATTGGAAATCTTGTTGTGTAAACTTTCATATACATGTATGTGCCTCTACTTTCAATGAATATGATTTCTCATGGTCTAAATTACTAGACTTTTATTTTCAAACAGAACTGAATGGTGAACAGCAACAAAATGGGGTCATTCTTGCTTGAACCAATTGAAGGGTTTTAACATTATTCACAGATCATTGATGGTAAATCAAGATTCTGAGATATTTCCAGAAGATGCAGAAGACACCCCATGTGACTTTAATGAACTTGTATCTACTATGCAGTCGGATTGTTTAACTGATACATTATTAGTTTACTTAGAATCATGTGAGCCCTTATCAGTTACTGACAATGACCCTTCTCACAATTTAGATGAACCAAATACTGATTCCCTTCTTGACCCTTTTAACTATATTGACTTAACTGAATCCTCTGAAGTAAGAGATTATAACTATGTGCAAAATATCAAATGTTCATCAACTTGGAGAAGTACCTGAAAGGTTACAATGAATCAAAAAATTGATACTAAATTGGCTGCAAGAAAGAGCATAAGAGCTTCTGGAAGGAAGCCAATGTTAGATTTATTATCTGTAGATGTTGGAAGAAGAAGAAGAAGTGATTGGGTGTGTTGTGATGATTGTCATAAAAGGAGAAGAATATCAGTTATACTTGCAGATTCTGTTGAATCCACAAAATGCAGATGGTATGATTTTATCTTTTTTCAAATTTCAACCTATGGTATAACAATAGATTTGTGTCTAAATACTTCAAATTTTATATCTAGGATAAAATCTATTTTCCCTTCTTTTTTATCCTTTCAAGTCAAAATTGATGAGTATTGTGAAAATTTTCTTTTGGAAAGTAAGGGTAAGATGGTCATTTAGTGTACCTCATTTAGTGAACCTTACCTTCTTTAAAGCAACAATCTTTCCAGTTTCAAGGTCTCGAGCTCTGTACACGCTGCTGTAAGTCCCTTGTATTTTACAATTCCTTTTATAGATTGCATGCATTCATATAAATAAAGCAAAAGCACTTTATTATATTGTTTCTTATTTGCAGCTGACATAAGCATTTAGGAAGTTCTATGGAAGCTCAAAACAGGGAACCAGCAATGATAAATCTCGTGCTGGTGTTCATGACAACTGCATCAAGTATATATCACCATTCTTACTTTTTTTTTTCTAATTTAATATATTCTTCTTAATTTTAATGTTGTGAAGGCATAATGACATTTTTCATTCTTGTTTAATCAATTTTCGTATCTGACATTTCTAGTTGCTATCTTATTGTAGGTACACAGAGGTTTTCTCTAAGACAAAGGATTCCAAAAAGGTTTATATGTTACGTCTTGAGAGAGAAGCTCTTGTTAGTGGTTCTGGTTCAGGTTCAAAGCGAACATGGAGGGTAATCAAACTCTTTTTTGCTATTGTTATCTATTTATCTGTTCTGTTATATATTATCTAATGTTTGTTTCCTTATTTTGCATTGCAGTCTAGATATATGGTAGCCTTCGAGTCCCTATGAAGGATGAAATTTAGTTAGCTCCATGTGGTAGTTTCACAAAGGTAACTATCATCTCTTTTCAAAGAATACTATCCCAATTTTAACGTATCTGATTATAATTGATTCAAACAAAAGTTAAATATAAAGATTGTAAATGTTAAACATTTTTAAATATATACAAAGTGGTGGAGAAAATAAATGCTTAAAACAAAGAAAAAGCAAAGCAACCTTTATATTTGGATTTTTAAGAGTATAAAAAATAAACCTTCTATTTTTTTGAATATAGAAAATGACAGCTAAAATAAATATTTATATTTCTTTACTGGCGAAAGAAATATGGAACTAAAGTACATTGTCCACACGAGTAGTGGAACTTGAGTGCTATTATGGGATAGAAAATGTATGAAAACTTGCAAATTAAATATTTAAATTCAAAAACTAACTTAAAAAAAATAGCCCATTTTAAAGAAACCCTTTATAAAGTAATTAAAATTTTCATTTGGTTATAAATTTTTTAATCAGCCCAATATTGTTGATTAACAATCATTAAAATCCTTACTAATTTATAACAAAAAGATAAAAAAAAAACCCAAGACATAAAAATCATATTTAAATGATCAAAATCTACATGAAGGTACAACTTATATGAAAAATAAAACACTTGCTCTATCATTCCTATCTTTCAAAAAATATGAAAATTTTGTGTTTCGTTTACAACTTTATGTGTTTCCTTTAAAATTAAGCATTGTTTAGTTGTGACATACATATAAATATGCATCAAGCATGAGCACAAACTTTCAAACAACTCCATATGTGCTTGTTATAATTTTTTCATGATAACTTCTTCATTGTTCTCACATTTGTTTCCTTTTCTCAACAAAAAAAAAGCGACACATCACTTTGCCTTTACAGAGAACTTGCTCTTCTCCAACATCTTTAATGATGTGGCAATTAAATGAAAAAGGAAATTACTATAAAATGACAAGTGTAAAAAAAAAAAATTAAAAATGCCTACTAAATGACATGTGGCAAATTGAAGGAGAATAGGACAAGTGGAAAATTTATTTTCATTTATTAGGTAGGATGATATTTACCTATATAATGAGAATTGTATTTGTAGATTAATGGCGACAATCTACAAGAAATTCCAGGTGGAGAGGTAGCAATTACAAATATGAATACATGCAATGGTCCAGAATTTGTGTTGCAACTTCGTTTTCCTTTGAATCATGACAATGCTACTAGTACAAGAAGTCCAGGTTTTTTTTTTTTTTTTTTTTTTTGAGATTACTAAATTTGGTAACTCAATTTTACCAATTTGAGGAGATAAGTTTGTTATTATTTTTCTGCTTTTTTCCTTTCTGAGTGTGGATATGGAAACTTCATGCACAATTTTATTATAATTATTTTCCAGGTCATATGAATGATTAAAAGTCGACACTCGACATGCACGTAAATTCTATATTTTGTGGTGCTTGTAGAGTGTCATGTATTGATTGATTAATGGTTTGGTTGCACACAAGTCACATGATACTTCATGCATAGTTTGGATCATATTAAATTGTTAATGGTTCAGTTTAGAATTCAAGCGATGTCCAATGTTTAATGATCAATTTCACAGGTGATGACCTTACATGTAACAATGGAAATCTTGAAGGTGAATCAAGGTCACACTCTAAGCAATTGAGAAAGCTACTTCTATTCTCTAGGAGTGTTTAATGATCAATTTCTCCTAATTGCCAAGGCTGCTAGGTGAAATTGATGTTAACTCTTTTTATCTTGGATTACTTGACTGGTAGTATAGCAACCAAATGTCTCATTTTCATTAATTTGGCTAAAAAACTATTTTTATTGCCTATTAAGTCACTAAATTAACATTTTATGTTAAATATGTCACCATGCTTACAGTTTTTTCTGACTTCCATTTTTTTATAACATAATAAAACCTCACTCGCTGATGTCATCTTTTCTGACTTCCATTTTTTTATATAATTTTTATTTGGGTCAGGAGGCTGTTGATGACAAAGCACCACAATCTGAAAGAGGCATCAAGTCACGTGCAATTCTTGGTAGATAGGTCAAAGGAATTGTCATAGAGTAGGTTGTTATAATGCTTCACATGTTCAAAATAGCAATTTACTTTCTTTATTTTGTTTATTGTAACATTATATATTGTAAGAAATAGAATTGTATGACATTATATTTTATGCAATGGATTGTATGTTTTTATATGGTATTTTATTTCTATTATGAGACGGTAAATGCAAATTTAATTTAAAAATTAATAAATATATAAATATATTTTTTTAAACATTTAAATTTACGATACGCAAAAATGTGTGTCATCTTCATTTATGACATGGCCTTTTTTGACAGGGGTTTTAATGATACGCATTGTGTGTCATTAACACGCGCGTCGTAAGGTTACGACACGCGAATGCCTGTCATCTTCCTTTATGACAGGGCCTTCCTTGATACGCATTGCGTGTCGTAAACGCACGTCGTAATTGCGCGTCGTAAATGAGCGTCGTAAATGTGCGTCGTCTCTCTTTATGATAGGGCCTTCCTTGACACACATTTGCGCGTCGTCTGATCCTTTTACGATGCCCAATGAGCGTCGTAAAAGGCTGTTTTTCTAGTAGTGTTGAGAATAAGGATACTTAGGTTCACACTTAAAATTGACCCACTCTTGTTTTCTCACACACTAGTGTTATTTCATGAACCATAGCTCTCTTTAAATAGTGTGGAGGATTAGGGTTACATTAATGTAAACCCTAATACCTATGACCTTTCATTTCCATAGGATTCATGGGTTAAAAACTCCATGGACCATCCATGAAAGCTTAGCCCAACCTAAATGAACTTGGCCCATCCTATATATATAAGAGTCCATATTTAATTAGTTCCTTTTGATCACTAAATTAATTCTTGATCAATACTAATTAAATAATATGATTTCATACTAATATATTAGAACTTATAATATATTAATATAAATCATAAGTATCCTTTTTCTCATTTTGTCTATCCAATTGTTCCGATGACATGCAACCCAAATGGACCATGCTACTTTCGGGTCGAGTATATACCAATAATAGTTATGGAATCAGACATCTAATCCAATAGTTTCCCACTTGGATAATTCTAAAACTATTATTGTGTATGACTCCAAAACTCGACTAGTAATCGTAGCTCTTAAAGCTGCTGTCGAACACTAACCTAGTCAAATGACTTGTCCATTAGATAAGGGATCATATATTCCTCCATTCTAGATATCATATGGACTGAGATATGGATTATAATCATTTTCTTTGTCCATTTGTTGTTTCCCGATTTCCGATTTATGACGACCGACTAATTGAACAAATCAAATCAGTCCAGGCTTGGCCAAGCACTTAGGGGTGTCATCACTAAATCATCAAGGGGCCCACATATATCGGTTTTATCCCTCCAATGGTAAAAGGAATGGATAAACTTCGAATCATATGCTTGTTCTACTACTTTTTCAATCATACACAAAGGCACGTTTTATAACATCGAGTTACCAATGCGTTTTCGTACAATCAATATATAACCAAATCATACTTAACAACTCATATCTTCAGGTTTGAAGAATATAAGATATTATCGTCTCATGATCACTCGTGATAAAATCCATGAAGTGATTCAAATGAGCGTGAGTTTAATCCAATACTCAAAACTTAAGAGCATTCATGAATGATGTAGCAACTCTCGCTATGTCCAACACCTTAGACATCTACAAACCATCTTCATGACAGTGTTGACTTAATACCTACTTCCAACGTATTATCGACTGTGGATGGTTTGAATACCTTAGTTATTCGGGAAGGGTGACCTAGTTATTCTGGATATCAAAACATGAAAAGTGAAAAAGAATAATCGAATCCAATATAGTCTTAGAACTTATGAATATAAATAGAACACCTTTTATTTATCACCATATTAATTACACATTATTCATTGTATAATGTTTCAACTAATCAACTTTATACTTGAATCAAAACAATAGTCATGCCATGCTCTAAACATGCACACTATGTTTATTCAAGTAATAGTCATGCCATATACCAAGTATGGACACTATGTTTGTCTATGATCTTTAGTTTGTGAAATAGATCGATTGAGCATAATTCCAATGATTCTCATTTCACAATCCCAAATCTTTATTGTAAATGTAAGAACTCCAAATTCCTACCATTTACCGAGATCTGTTAGATTTTAAACTTACATGCACTGATCCTCTTGTAATGATTATGCACAAAGTCACAAATACTTGTCAACATACATTACATAGTATTCCAATGGAGATCAATCCCGTGGAAACAAAGTCTCATATTCAAAATACATTGCATTGAACATCCTTCTTGCATTAAGTTTTCTAATATTACATAGATTGAATAACTTCCACCTATGTAGATATTTCCATATTCCCATTTTGACTATCACTTATGAACAAGAGTTGCCTCCTTTCAAAATATGTCAATTGGTCCTTGCAAAATTAACATTATACTTCCAACTGTCCCTGAGCAATCAATCTTTGGTAAACCTTAGATTATCCTCTACAAATTCTTAATCATTTTAGTCATATCTAATTCTAGACCTTTTCCCCTCTTAATGCCCCCAGGCATTTGGAAAATTTAGAAAGGATAAATATTATAGCACATGCAATCGATCCTATACCCGAAGCATATGTGACACAATTCATGATGTCTCACATAAAGACATGATTCTAGACCAGTCGTTTGCTACAATATTTTCTATTTGCCATGTTTTCATAATTCACTATGAAGAGGGATGTCGTAATCATAATCTAATTTTAAGAACGCAATATATATATATATATATATATATATATATATATATATATATATATATATATATATATGTTGAACCATTACAACATAAAATTCATATATATATATATATATATATATATATATATATATATCCTTGACTAAAGATGATTAAAATCTCAATCTAAGATTTCTAGAATTGAAATGAAGTATAATTTCCTCTCCCTTAATTATAGCAAAACAACTTTTCCAAATTGAAACCTTTGTTTTCTATAATTAATATTGCTAGCTTGCAACGCTTATCATAATTATCATGCTCCCACTAACATGATGATTATTAGCATAACACTTATGCTCCCACTAGCTTTGACATGTACTCAGAAATCAGGTGGACTTCTAGAAATCAATACTTTATTGACTTTCTTACCAAAGTTCAAACTTCTGATACGAGATGCTTTGATAAAACTTTATCAAAATCATACACCTTTCCTTAGATAGCACACATATATGTATAAAAAATCCCAGAACTATGAAAAACGGATTCCGTAATCATTGTCTCAATTGTTTAGACCTTTGCCATTCCTCACAAGTCCATGTTAGAGTGCTGATTAACCACACACGCTCCACTAACGACTTTGAGAATACAAATATCATAATTCCTATCTAACTAAAACCACTTAGTGAAAGTGTATCGTCACCATCATTCTCGTGAATCGGAGAGAAATCTTATGATGCTTAGATTTTATGGTGTATGTGTTCCTATCCATGTGAATTTTTCAAAACCATAATCTCAAGACAAGGTTAGTGACAAATCCAAATTCATATGGACTGAACTTGTACAGTCTTAACTTTTGGCCACTTGACAGCACAAGGGCCTGCCACTGCTTTCAAGTTGTTATGCAACCAATTGAGAACTTGTAGAACTCAAATGCATAGTCAACTTTAACTGGAATGGGCATAGAAATAAGAATATGTCAATCATGATAGGTTATAAACCTCAACTTGTGTGCTACTGATAAACTATAGGTTTTATTCTTGATTAGTTCTTGAAACTCCTTCAAGATCTTTTAGACTCCCACTATCCTCTTGACATATAAGACTCTCTTGCCAAGTACCATGTCTTGACAAAACAAATATTCAAGAGATAGTGCGGATTCTTATCAAGACAAACACTTCACACAATTGGCCTTAGTTGGTCTTTGTTTTATCCAAAACATCACAGCTTACCAATTTCAAATGTAGAAGAATAGAACACATTTTACTTTTACATTTGACAAGTGTTATAAAGTTTTTTTAAGATGTATCACTCAAGTTACAATCTTGGAGTATGACTCTAAGACTTGTTTTGGAGCGAAGTATGAATCATTTTCTTGATTTAATCATTTCAACAATTCACGACTCCTCTTCTAAGCCATAAAAATGCACTAAGATGTCCCTAGAGGATTAATTGTGATATGGTTTCATAAACATTAAGATGATCATAAAACATGATTCTAAAGTACTCTCCCATCTTTTCAGATTTCAGAAACTTGTATCTTTCTACCTAATCTGATTCTTCTTATTCATTTTACAATTCATTGAAACTTTTTCAATGTTTCAGAATTATACTAAATCCTGTAAGTATAACCATATTTACTACACTTTAATAAATCATGACAAATAGTTTTATCGATCTTTTGTGGTGGACTTTGACCAGTGCACAAAAATGTGTACTCGATCCATTAGTCCTTCACTTGCTTCACATATACATGTGAACAAGGAATTAGTCTTAATTTTCCAAAGATGGAAAATTCTCATTCATCATACAATATAACTTGCATGATTCCAAGTTTTGGTCCAATTGAAACTTGGGTGATGAGAATCTTTCCTTATTTGTTAAATTTAGACACTACCACAAATAAAAGAATCAAATTCATATTTCCAATATAGCTAAAACATAGAAAACATCAATTTTTCATAAATTTCATTGCAAGGAGATATAAAATAAAGTAAAAACAAAATTTTATTTATTTATAAAATGCGGGAAAAACTTTTTCCTTACAATGCAACTTTAGATGAAAACTATATTATTACATATTTCCTAGCAATCTATCATAACTCCTAAGTAGTAGCTCAAAAATCCGATCTTCGAACCATGCGATTGAAATCCATCTTCGTAATTAGATTCAACATACTATCCTTTTAAGCTTCCTTCCCTTTGCTTGATCATGCCATACAAAATGCAAGCTAGTCACATCATGTATTAAGATCATCAATTAGGAAC